TAACAAAATAGTGACGTTCTCTGTTATAAAAAGCACTCTTATTTGTTGGTTGTTGGCCCATCCCTGCTTTCCAGGTCTTCCTTCTTGCCAGCATCCTTGCTGTCGTTTTCACATATCTGGATGCAGGTCGTTCATCCGATGGCCGGACTCAGTCGTACATCGAGTCACTCAGTACTTGTCCCTTTATGCCTTGACAGGAGCGCCCTTGCTGTCCCATAATGCTCTACCTGTACCTCCATTACAGTGTCCACATAATGTGCCACTTCTCCCTCCAATTTTTGGAGCAGCCAAGGCCCTGCACCTCTCGTGGGACGATATCGCTCCAGTACAGGCCCCCAGGCACGCTGCAACCTACTCCCATCGCTTTTTCATTTCCCAGTCCAGGCTGGCGTCAACCCAGTCCCACGTCACCATCTGATTGGCCGCAATAAACATATTTGCATGGAGGGCTTGCCGTGTTCCTTCGAACACCCTTCCCAGGATGGGGGTGTCCCCCCCCCCCCCCCCCCCCAAACTGCCCAGCCTGTCAGAGGCATGATGAATTCAATTCCGTTCAATTCAATTTCTTTTTATATATAACACCTTTCCCAGTTTGGCTGCCCCGAAGCATCTAAAGATTTCACAACAGCGTTACAAGGTAAATTGACAAGTCAAGCCAACAAAAAACCGATACAGTTTTAATTTAAAAACTCAGAGTGGCTGGGGAGTGAGCCAGAAGATGTAGGTGAGGAAAGTAAAACTGGGAAAATAAATGTATAGCAGATGAAAATGAACGTTGTGGAAGGTGAAGCCCTACATGCATGCTGGCCTTTATAGCAGCCAAAGAAAACTATACAAGGTGGGTTGCAAATTGACCTTATGGATGATTTTTGATAAGTAAAATTTTTGTTGCTTCATAATTGTTGTGATTGTTGTTTTTTTGATAACACTGACATCCCAGAGCAACAGTTTTCAGTAAGCACACAGGAGGAGTAGCTTGCTGTATAGTGATGTTGTTTTGATGTATATCATTACTTATAAACATATATGTAATGCCTGAATCTTGCTTTGTGTGAGCGAGTGAACAGCTTTGAAATGCAAAGTGTGAAACCAGACAGTGCAGAATTGGTCCAGAATATGAAAACGCCTAGTTCCATATCTCTGAGAAAAATAAACGCAGGTGAGAATTTTGTGCTCATTTTATGATATTTGTAACCAGTAAAACTAAGGAATAATCTTACCTACACAAGGAACACACAGATCCTTACTACCTGTTTTATGTGTGTATAGTATATATTTGTATACTTAGTGAATGTTAATAACCTCATTTGTATAATATGACCAAAATTATGTGTCTTAAAATATTTCGCAAGTCAAAGCTAGGTCATACTCCTCCTCCTTCGCTAGGCAGGAATGCAAACGTGAGGAGCGGGATTGATCTTTGAGCAAACTGCCCTCTCTGTCCCATTCTCAAGGTGTCTGTCATGCTGCACATAAGAGACTCGGCCTACCGTTCTCCATGCGCCGGTCCGTCACTTTCTGCCTCTCATGCTTCCATTGTGCAGATGTCCTGCTGTGCTGATCGTTAGTCATTTATAAGACCAATCTGGCCCTAAAGCCTTGGATATATTGACCCGAAGGCCTAAGCCTATGTTTTTTTGTAGCTATAAAAAATAACTAGGCCTGTTTTTCCTAATGTGCTTGCAGATCACAAAGCCTGGTGATACATATGGATTTATAAATAAACTGCTATGGATTCTAGCAGTCCACGTTACGCTCTTTGACTAAATGTTCAAAGAGACTCTCCTGAGAATCGGGCATGTCTATAGGCATAACCCCTGCATCACCGGCTGCATTCCTGAATGTTATACATGATTGCTTTCCCTTACAGCAACACTCTATCCTCGATATATGCGTTATTTACAGATTTTTTTGTGCGTCTGTTGAGTAAATCTCATTGAATTTTAAACCATAATTCAGCTTTTTTTAAAAAAAAATCCAATTTATTTAATTTCTTCTTGTTGAGGCACTACCAAAAATAACACTGAAATTGCTCACTTGCTTCGAGTCAGTTTGCCCAGTGTCTTCCCCCTGGATTGATTTGTTCTGCCAGGCAGATATTTTCGCTTTTAATCTTCCAGCGCAGGAACAGCTAAATCCATCCTGTAGGTCCTCCGCCGAGATAGTGCCACTTAACTTTCCCATCATGATAATGCACCTTAACAACCAGCCATGTTTGCTCGAGCAGGACTGAGCAAATACAGATGTGGCATTCCGGAGGCGAGTCACCTGACCGTGGGGCTTGCAAACGGCCGTCCCCAACTCGAGAGTGCGGCCTTTTGAATATCTGCTCTATTGATGAATTAGCTTTTGGGCTTAAGGGTTAGACGTGTGTAAAATCTTTAATGGACTCATATGTCAAAGCTGGCCCTGGTGTTGGCTGGGGGATTTAGAATTAAGGCTGACCTGAAACAGCAACAAAATGGGGAGCTTGAGTGCTGTTAGCTGTATAGGGTTAGGGGTGCATCTACACTCAGGGAGGAGTCACATGCAGCCACAATATGAATGTCTCATCACACATAAGATGGTCCATAGAGGTACAGGAGGTAGTACCTCCACTATTTGTGAGAAATTTTTTTTGCAAAGCTTTACTTAAAGCAGTTATTATAATGCATTATAATGCATTCATGAAGTACTATCAACACAGCTACAACTATAAAAAGACATAAGATCTTATAGCCATGTTTACTATGTATTATGAATGTTCTATGAAGCTTTCAGTTATAATGCTCTACAGATAACTTCATAATGCATTATAATGGTCGGCATAAGCATTAAGGATGCTTTCTACTGTATTATAAAGGTATTTATAGTGCAATACAGATGAGAGCTTCATAGAGTATTCATAATGCATAATAAACATGGTTGTAATGTGTTATGATTTTTTTTAAGTTATACCCATGTTTATAATGCATTATTAATCTATTATAATCTATTGTAATCTAAAGTATTATGAAGGTATCTATAATGCCTTATACATGACTGCTTTAAGTAGTGTTACAAAATGTACTATTGCAATATTGTAAAATGTATTATCTTCTTGCCTCCTCAATTTTGTTTAACCATCATCCACCTCTGCCGCACAAGCTAACGCAACAGAAGCCATAATGCAGCACTTAGCAACTCTGTGACTCTCCAATCAACATATATTTTTTTAAATCAATATCTCGCATTACAGCAAACGTGAGGTGTTAAGAAGTGGCTTCCTTTCACTGCCTTTGAGCAAACGACACACGTGACTTGCCTCAAAGACCTGCTGACACTTTGCAAGCAGATCACCAGCCTCCCAGGATGTTTCTCACTGCCTCTCCCATCCTTTTGGTATGTCAGAGATCTTTCATATTTTTGTTGTATTTATTCTTGTTTGTCATCATATTGTTGAACCACTCTTAATTTTTAACCATAGTCAGGGATTGATGTTAGCACAACTATATCCTGTTTGCCTTATGCGTTAACACATGTATCCGATGCACATAAAACATATTATTTTGTCTACTTATAGGGGGCCAACAAACCACTAAGATGCAAAGTGCTAGCATAGAACATTTCATTTCATGCAACTGGGGGGCACTGCTCCCCCCCCCCCCCCAAACACCACCCATGCTATTAACAATCGTTTAACATGTTTAAAACCCAGGAACATATAAAACTAAACTTTGTGGGAAAAACAATATTTCTAGACATAATCAGGTAATAACAGCTTTTATGTCTTATCAGTGTTTTGTGTCTTATCAGTGTTCTATCAGTTACAGTTTTGACTTTCTTTTTTATTGACTTTATCGTTACAATCCAGTGCTGGAGGTGTGAGGCAACAGTGTTAGCTAGTGATGGCCAAATGGAGCTTCATGAACCATTTGATGTATTTTTTGACCCCACTAGATGGTGCTAGTGGGGTCAGAAAATACAGCAATTAGTTCATGAAGCTTCATTTGGTCATCACTAGTGTTAACTACTGTCTTATTGTGCAGCCCGTAGCAGTAGTCAAGTTAACTCTAAATCTAGGTCCAAGTCGGTTGACAATTCAGGCAATTAGCCTGTTCAGCATTGACCTCAGAGGAGTATTGAACATATCTTGCTTGAGGCTTCCTTTCTTCTCCATTATGTGATAATATGCGGCGAATTCCAGCATGCTTAACATTTAAATCATCCATCTGGTTTCCCATAATTGCTTATCCACATGAGTCTGGAGCCCATCCTAGAAAAGCAGGGGGATGCACTGTTGGGATGCCAGTCTATCAAAGGACAGGCACATGCACACAATTGCATACTATGGACAATTAACACACCTCAATTCACACACGCCATGTGTCTTTGGACTGTGGGCTGAACACTGGTTGATGGGGGGAAATGCAATCAGTTTTTAATTATAGAACAATGCCCCATTTGAGTTTTTGAGAAATCCTCATTAGGTTGTTGTTACTGTAATGCTTTTAATATGAATCCATCCATCCACCTCCCATAATTGTCTAGTTAGTACAGAATCACTATGAGCTGGGAGCCTATTCCAGCAAACACGGGATGTGGGGAAATATTGGATAGGATGTCAGTCCATCGCAGTGCACACACAGTGTGGACAATTCAGAGATACCGGTTGACCTAAATGCTAATCTTTGAGCTGTGGGATGAAACCGCTGTGCCTGAAAGAAACCTGTGAACATGAGGAGAACATGAAAACTCACTTGTGTTCCCACTGTGTGTGGCAAAATAGTAGCTCTGTCCTGGCCAGATCCGATCAAAAGGTCAGCCTTGTTGTTAAAATTGCTCACAGCAGAAGCCATGATTTCCATGCCACTATATTGTAGCCTTTTTGCAGTTTCAGCAAGGCCACGTTCTTCCTGATTTCTAGACCTTAAAAAAGATGTGACCTAGATTACAAAATATGGAAATTGTATGGCCACATCTTTGCATAGCACTTCCTTTAATGAGTTTTTTTTTCTACTCTGGAGTATAAGTCATGAGAATGAATGTGCCTATAAATTCTTTTTAAACTTGGAGAGATGTTGAAGGGAGAACATGTTTGATATTCTTTGGCTTCTGGTTTCATTGGAAGAAACGACATGGCCCTTCGGAACTAAGCTGTGGGCCATTTCTCCAGCCACCTCAGACCAGGACCAACCTCACCACTGAGTGTGATGAATGAATTAGGTCAGTAAGCTTAATCATCTGTTCAGTCAACTGCATAAGGTTGTTGGGTAGACAGAAAGCCTCCACGTGCTGCTGTTTTTTGTTCCTTTTTAATACAAAAATTGAAAACTGAAGATTACCTTGAGCAGCGTAACTATCAGAACCACCAGTAGGTGGTGCATCTATTAAGGAGCAAGAATCAGGGCTGAAAATTAGCAAAAAGTATATACCTTTAACATTGTTTGTATCTTCTTAAGTAATTTTTATGCATTTTATTTTGGAGTAAAACATGAAGCATCCCTTATCTTTTTATAAAGCCTCAGGCAGCCTATCGCAAGTTAATTCCCTATCTATCCTTAAAAAGCTGGTATTTACCGTTTTTTCAGTGTTTGGTTGTTTTTTGCAATTAGTCTATTACCGCCATCTGGTGGCCAGGGTGAAAAAAACAGTTATGAGTAGCGTCCTTCGTGATATGGTTCACATATCTTCCGGTTAAGCGGTTAGATTTTTATGTTTATGAGTCTTGTACTTGACAGATCACCCGCATGTTGGGAACGTTTTCTCGTAAAATGTACCTTGGCCTCATAATCTTGTGGAACTGCAATCAATGTAGTTACAGACGTATACATCTTTAGGCGGGTACTGAGTGAACAGCCTAAATTCAGTGTAGCGGAATTCAGTGTAGCGCCCTTAACTTTATGCTCACTTTGTCTATTTCCATTGGGTAAAATATTTTCATTATGAATACTCACTTCTGACCCCTTGCCTTGATAGTAGTAGTGCATATAAACTGTTTAAGTATCGGTTATCCAACATTCTTCAGGTAGTAAAGATATCTTGCAATTCGTTTGGTATCATGGTATGTATATGAGCAAATACGACCTTGACATTTGCTTGATATTTGCTTAGCTTCCAGATGGACGATCTTCAAACAAATATCTGAGTACAATATTTCCCTTTTCAAGTGCAGCTCACACTCCGTAAAGTATCATTCAGTGAGTGCAAATAAGTAACTAGAGTCGTATTTGTTCTCCGTCTATGAAATTAATATAAGCGTTTAAATATATTTTCTGATACAGTAGATGTGGATTTGTACTGAATATTACAACCTATGAAGAAATCAGATTTTAAATCTTTCCCAATTATTATTTAGCTAGGTTAAGATGGACATTTCCTGTCATCCTTAAGTATTTTTAAATTTGTTTTTGTTTCTTTGCCATTGAACTGCCAGGTCTGTGTCCATTATTAATGTCCTAGCAAAACTGTATTTTGTTATGAACTTATTTGCGAGCCGCTGAAAGTGCTGGACAGGACCCAGTGGGGATGCGTCCTAACAGCCAAAGCAATCCCTCCTCTCTTCCACATGGGACCCCCTTTCCTGGGGTTTCCAGTGGCTCAGCTGCCACTGCGTGGTCCCTCATTTACAGCCAGTGCCGTCAGACCTGTGTCTGTGCTATATATGTGACATATACATATATATATGTATATATCACATTATAAACAACCAGTGGTTTTAAGAAAAACATTCATTCCAAGTAGTAATAAACTGAAGCCCAAATTATAGTTCTGAAAGTGCTGTTCTGTGTTAAAAACTGAAGTCTTTTTAATTAGTAACACCTTTGCAATAACATAAAACAGGAAACATTTATGTCCAGCATACCTTTAGGAATCATTGACTACAATTGCAATCAATAGCAAAATGACAAGAACAGAACTGAATGAGTCAGTCAAAAAATTATGACAATAAAAAGAAAATATGCAGACCTACCAGTCAAAACAGTTGAATCAGCTGAATGACATTGATGCCTCACCATTTTCTTTTTATCTTTGATGTCACATCCAGGTCACTTCATGGTGACGTTTCAGGCACATTCCAATGCATGGCAGACAAACAGGAAGTGGAGAGGAATTCCAACCTGAATGGAACATGCTGCAGCCCCTCGTGGGAATGCCAGGAAAGGCCATTGTTTGCTTTGCTGGTAAGTTCCTCTCCTGTTATGTAAAGGCTGTGTTTTCACTGTGAAAAGTGCCAGGCTTGATGGTAACATTGTGTCAGGGTGCACTGGTATGTTCTGAAACACCATGGTAATGTTCAGGTTAGCTATTCAAGATTCAGATTCAATTTTTTGAAACTAGACTTTTAAAAAGTGCCATCAAAGTTGAGAAGACAGTGGTTGATATTTCAAATAACTTTTCATTGTTTTGCAAAAGCGATGAACACATCACTTTTAGATGACACAGTTGTAGTTTTTTTGTCATTGTTTCACACTCTACTATAACTATCTGTTCTATTCATTTATCTTTTACATATTGCCTAGTCCTGCCTGGGACAATGTTTTCAAAGGGCGTAAGCTCAGTTGTCTTTTCATTTTAAGTGTGAGATTGTGTCTCATGAATATAAGACAATGCTCTCCGATACTCTGATGACTATAGACTCCACAGCTATTGATTTCGGGTCCAGTCCAGCAGTTTCAATATCTCGCAAGATAGTTCCAAACAGAATACTGCTGGGACAAATGTGAGGACATTGTGTGTGTGTGTTTTTAGCAAGGAAGAATCTGCTTCCCTGAGCGACAGAAGGCGGAAGAGCATAATTAAGTTACGATTCTTGAGGCGTGACAGATACTTATGCGGTAGCTGGCCAAGCAGCCTCCTCAGAAGTTCTTGGCTTCCTGGAAGTGCAGTTGAGGTCACTGCTTTTGGCGAGAGACACTGACACCTGAGTCTCATCACAGGCCAGCCCTGGTGGAATCACTGCAATACCGTTAGGAACGGGATGAGTACCTTCATGCAGCATTCCTACAGGTGGGAATTGGGTCTAGTGTAAGTTCCCTGTAAGAGCCATCACAGCATTTGTTGGAATGATCCATTGACCGATGTCATTTAGAATGGAGGCTTCAGGTGTGTGTGATTGGGGGGGGGGCACGTTGGATTATTTAATGCCTTTGATGTATGTGCCTACGGTGGGAGACTCACACTAGGTTACCTTGGTAACATTGTTATATCGTACCATAGATTTGTAGATCGGCACAGGTGCATCGTAAGAACTACAAACGATCATGATGACTATTATTGCTGTCACTCTGGTGATGTATTGATGAACTGAAAATGTTTTCTAATAGCATGTTATCAGTATAATAGCTGATAGCAAAAATACTATGAGTAAAGGGAAAGAGAGGTCAAATAGCCTAGTAGTCTGGAACCCAGTTGCCTCAATAATTTGATGGCTGTCCCCATACTCTGTCTCCTTCTCAGGTACCACGGCGCTCCCTGAGGTCGGTCCCCACACCCAGCAGCACTTGCAAACCAGGTTCAGCTATGGGAAGACAAAGCACCTTTTCTCCCTCTTGGTTTGTCTGCTAAATATACAACACAGGGTCCCCTGCCTCTTATCTTTCAGTGCCAGGCATACCGAGAGGGGACTGCAGTAATTAGGTGGCTGTATCGGACTCGATTCCCTTTGTTGTCTTATCAGCTCCGGCACCGATTGCGCGTAGTGACACTCACCCCAAATGATTATTTAAACCACGGTGCGGCAGATGAGAGGAAGATTTAAGAGTCACTTCATGGCAAGAATGATTCTTTTTTTTTCCGCTTTGTTTATAGAAATAAAAAAAGTCGCCTAAATCACTGAGTAGAAGCTTGTTTTTGTGATCCTTATCAGACGGTGAGGAGACAACCTTGTTTGTCAGATGAAGGAGATGCTTATTGCTCAGGATGTTCTTCATGAGAAAGTATGCCGTGGGACACTTTGGATGCAGGATGCGTGTGACCTGAATGCAGAGCAGAGCACCACAATCTTTCAGGAATTTATTTTCGCACACATCCGAGTGACTGTATAATTACAGAAAATGATTGCGATAATGTTAAAATTGAAAAACAAGATGTGCTACACAGCGGTCCAAATGCGGATTTGGTTCAGAAAGCTTTCTGCTGGAATGTTATGTAGCTCATTCCATTAGGAAATAAGCGTCTGTAGGATTATGCAGTTTCACAGCGTGCCTGGTGCCACAATGCGCCAATCTACCCAGCATCTCTGTCTACTTCACCCCTATAAAGCCTCTAACAGTCCCGCCAGATATGTAGTGACCAAAGAGCGGACTCAAGTAAATCAGCCCTAGGCCATCTGAGCACCATAAACACAGGTTATCCACAGGACTATTGTGTGTGCGCTCAGCTCTCTGAGCGATGCTGCATGACAAACACTGTCCCTGAGCGGACATTTTTATTTGCCCAGTGTGAGAAGCCACAGGGGTAGTAGTGTGACCACTCTCTGGGTGTGGATGATAAAGTGTTTAGAATAGTTCAACAAATCCACAAACAAAACCAAAACTTTTTTAATATCTAGCAACATAATTCCCCTTGAGGCTGTAATAGGATTTTTCTTTGTCTAAGGATAAGATAAGTGTGATAGCTATTGGAACACTTTCTTATACAGTGGCGTAAATTATGTGGAGAAAATTTCTAATGGTGTAAGAAGGAAGAGCTTTGACTAGACTGGCCCGCAGCTCTGCTGTGGCAAAACACTCTGATCCGATCGAATTATTTATTGTCTGTTTGGCCTCAGCTGTGCGGTGAATTCTTGGCCTGGATTAATGGCTTGAAATTCATTATAGTTGCTTAATCAGTCTCGACTTGTTCAATTAGATGCAGATGCGTACTTAAATAGTGCAACGTGTGCGGTTTGGAACGGTAGCAAATGGCAAAATGCACCGATCAGTGAATCAGTCATTCCTATCAACACCGTACAGTACATGTTGTGCCCATATATATATATCACGGATTGTCCTCAGCGTTCGACAGGATATAGCCTCATTTTTCTTCACAGCAAATGCGGCTGTGGGTTTATCGTAATTAATTTGAGATCTGATCCTCCAAGGCTATTTCAGCTCAAAGATGACTAATACAGGACAGTATGGGGGCAGCATGATCTGGCGCTCATTTGCCAGGAAAGATAAATCGCCTTAAAGCTGTTCTTCCACCATATTTCATTGACCATGACTATTATATGGTGAAATCGGGAAATTACCAAGTGTCTTATGTAGATGTACTATGTGAGTGCATGTGCTGATCAGACTGTTAACACCACCAAGGTTGCCCTTCCTTACTTTTTTAATCCAAACCCCTACCCTCCTCCCTCCCTTCAAAATAAAACTATCAACGAGTTTCTGTGCCGAGATTCCCAGTGTTGGAAAGCGATATCCAAAAGGCATCCACTTCTCTAGCAGAGCCAGATTGTCCCCACATTTTTCCGTTTGGCTGCTTCTGAGCGTGCGGCTTCTGGCTGACCCCCCCCCCCCGGCCAGGGGAACTTCATAACCCAGCAACTTCGTAGGTGCTTTTTATTTGAGGTGGCTTGTGTAGCTTATATCATACACTTTTGCTAGTTTGTACAGCTGGATTTTATCCAGAGGCCGTTCGGGTTAAGAGCTTCGCTCCAGGATATAACCGCAAGGCTCCTCCTGGGACCTGAGCCGACAGAACCTTCCGGTTTGCAGCTCTTGTTGCAGATGAAGAAGCCATCAAGCCATTTTCCATGGAGACACCTTAGCACAAAAGGACAGCAAACGGCTCTGCGTGTGAGTGCATACGGATTATGTAAGGGGAGCTGTGTTACCAAACACTCTGGCATGAATGTTGGAGGGGAAAAGGATTAACAAAACAAGATGTGCATGAAACTGCCTCGAGGGACAGAGGGGGAAAAGAAAAAAATCAACAAGGTCTTTCAAAACCTGAATCCTGCTTACCTTACTGCCCCCTCCCACAATTAAAAACATGCAGGCTCACAAAGTATGATCCAGATTCAATAAAATCCATTTACTCTCATTCACAGTGACCAACCCCATTACTGTGATGCAGAACAGAGATTACAGTAAACCATAACAGGTGTGGCACAGAGGGGGACAGGAGCTTGCATAGTCAACACAACTCTCCAGGCAAGATGATCAGTTTGTTAGGTTAATGATTCAAGTCCCCAGCTAAGGGATGACGTCAAACTTGTCAGATGACTCTGTCAGGTGACATCACTACAGTTCGGTTACTGTGTGACTATGCATCAGAGCGGCTAAGATACATGACTGGAAGAAAACCAAATTGTTGTAGTATGCCAATGGCGACCAGGGGACCGCAGCCCATTGCGAGGTATTGCTAAGTGTTACGCTCCACTTCTGTGACCCTGATCAAGAGCACTGTGTGCCGTTTCACACTCCGATTGCTGGTTCCGTTCAATAAACCCCTGATAAGCACATTTGGGTCTTTGAGTGTCTTTTCTGACAGATGTACTTTTATTGTGCATAAAAATTAGGACTTTAGTAAAGATTTTTAATAGAAACTAATAGCATTCCTTCCTGGTTGTTAACAGCACAAGTCACCTTCAAAAGAAATTACACATCGCAATTTCACCATAATATGGTGTAATTACATTTAATGAATGCGAATAATTCTTAGTTTGACTGCTTAGCTTTTTTAAATTTTAGATTTTACTTTTTTAATTTTAGTTTCTCCAGTTAATACAAGTCAAATTTTTTTGGTCCAGGAATTAACATTAACAAGCAGCAAACAAGCAGAGCTCCTCTCTTGGGAGCTAAAACAAAAAGAGCTTCTTTTGCCTGCTCTGTTACCATGATGCCGGGGTTTCCCTGCTACAAGTGTCCCCACTGGCGCTGCTGGGGTTACTGGCTTATCGGGGTAACTTGTCGGATTTAAGGTAGTCTGGGCAAAATGTAAGTGAACGAATATGAAGTCCATTTAAACTGTGGTACCTTAAATCTGACAAGTTACCCCGATAAGTCAGTAACCCCTCTTCGTAGAACAGGCCACTGGAGGAAGAAATCGTGAGATTCAAGCTTAAGCTTCCTGGGGGACCTTGGCAGGAGCGCCGACTGAAGATGGCTCATCAGCTAGGCTGGTTCCACAGGGTCAAGAAGCTGGAGTGGTTGGAGCTGAGACCCCTCTTCCTGGCTACAAAGGCATACTGCTCCCAGTAGGACAATTTGGCCCTCTGCGATGGGCTGCTGTATCAGCGTAGCACTGCCCCATTCCGGGGTAGGCTGTGTGACAGCTGCTGCTTCCAGAGTTGCTCAAAGAGGCTTAGGTGTGGTCCGTGCATGGGCCTCCAGAAGTGGTAGGGTAATTTGTGATCTCCAAGACACAGGACAGGTTCCAGGAGCAGTTCGTGTCTGGTGTTGGGATGGTTGTCGGATGTTGTGTACTGGGTATAGACTTGTCCTGGGGCCCAGTTTGTCATTGTTCATTGAGACATTGTGCATTGAGATTGTATCGCCCCAAAAGACACGCAGTCCCCAGCTTGTAAATACTTGTGGTGTGTTCCTGATTGTCGCAGTGTACTTACCTGTGTTATGTTTGATTCCTGTCTGTTGCTTGCATGTAACTCTGTTGGTTTTGTAAATACTTAGCCTGTATGCCACCTCATGTTCGTCGTGTAGAAACACTAGTTCCTGCATTGTGAGATTTGCTCTTGCCTAACTGTGGGCTGAAAACAGTCCTTTTCAGGGCTAAAATAAAAAGAGCTGCTTTTCCCCGCAAAAGCCACCGGTGATGTCTGGGTCTGTCTGTCTCCGCAATATGCCCTCCTCTGGCTTGCACTAGATAACTACCCTAATCAATTCCCATGGTTAATGATGAAATTAAGAATCTATTCTATATTATCTGTGCACATTTTGCAATCCTTTTCTGCATGTTAAATGCACAAAATTGTCATCAGATCCTGGGAACAAATATTTAATGTTCCTGGGCCGTCTAAAAATACTTATGCAAATCCTACTCGCACCATACTTTAAATACATGGCCATGGCTTGAATATTTATGAGAGCTTTCCTGCTAAATGCTCGACATCTGATCGACTGAATTTTGCTGAATTTAAATAATTCATTTTTGGGGGTGGGTGAGTGGGTGGGATGACATTTAGTACTAGCGTACTAATAATTTAAAGAAATATACCACTTCCTTTTTTTTGGGGGGGGGGGGGGGGTAGGTCAAAATCTTACTATTTTACAATTGTTCCATATAGTTTCTTTTTTTACTTAAACGAGCTTTCATATTATTTATGCATACCTGATAGAAATAAACAGTGGGCATCGTTAAGTGTATTGTGTAATTTCCATATTCGCCAAATTCACGTAAATTTGTCTTTCAAATCGCATTTGCAGCGCCATTTGCGGGACACAGGTAACGGGACGTGACCTTCTCGGAAGGTCTGCAAGGTCTTCACCTACAGGAAGGTTACTGCAGGTTAAGAAAAAGTCCCGTCACATTCTGTATGAGCCACTCCCTTGCTGAATATTACATCGGATCTTTTATCCCCGCCCTATTGTCCGCTACTCGGAGGCTGATTGGCTGCCACAGGTTGCCAAGGGCGTTGACTTCCGGTGTTCTCAGGTTGCTCGCCGTAGCGGGTTTCCCAACGCCGAGCGAGAGAAGGCGGAGACTTCGGTGCGTCTCCTTCGGTAGCGGGAGTTGTTGTGTTCTGCTGGAATAGTTCACTTGGTGAGCGTATGTGTGCGGTTTTTCTACATTTTTAAGTATGACCGAAAGCTCAGCGAACAAGCCGGCAAACGGGGACGCTTGTCACAGGGCTTCGGGCGCTAAGAAACCGGGGAGGAACGGCTACGTGAAGAGCCCGCACCTCATCCAGCAGAAGCACTGCCACGCCAAGGAGAGGGTGAGGAGGGCCTGTCACTTTCGGAGATACTTTGGCCGAGAGCGTGTGAGGCCAGCCGGGGCCATTCGGGCGGCGTTCACGACGGCTCGCCTCGGTCACCGCCGCCCGCCCTGCTTCCTGGGTAGGATGGGGGGAAAATGGCAGCACTTCAGACTCCCCCCACACACACGCGTCTCGGCGATATACCGGTGCTGCCGCAGCTAGGCTAGCTTAGCCTAGCCTAGCCTAGCCAGCGTGATTGAGGCGCGTTCTACATCCTTACAGCCGACTAACTAGCGCTAGTACAAACATGGGATGGGTCGGTGACCGAGGTGTACCTGGTACTTGGCAGCTCGAGTTGCTCTTAACTCTGTGACCACGGATCCCTCGGAATAACACAGCCCTGTGACACACTTCGGGTGATCTTTAACGCTTATACAAAGGTGAAACTGCGGTGTACATTTGTATTTGACCGCACGATCACCCGTGGCGGCGTTAGCTTCGATTGGAAGCTGCGATCCTGTGGTTTCACACCGCGGTGGTGTGTGTTTGTGTGCGTTTGGGACCCGATCTGGGATTGTTTACATTTAGACCACTTTTCGAGTCAGACGCGGGCGGGCGTGCTGGGGGAGGGTGGAGAGACTCCTGGAATCCTTTAGGTGGGGATATCCCTCGGCCATCCAGTGCTGCCAGTGAGGAATTTGTGGGGTGGAACACTTAGGAGTGGCTGTGAGCCCCGCTGGGTAGGACTCCAGCAATGCAACCGCGGCCGCACATTCCTCACGATCTGCTGAGGATCAGCAGTTGGGTTCAGACTAATCACGGACACACCCCTCCGATAAACAGGGAGGCCCCACGAATGAAAAGTATGACTAGGAATGGCATATGAGGGTGGTCGTTAAGAGACCTCTAGTTCTCCGCCAGCAGATATATATTTTTTGTTTCTTTTAAACAAATTTTAGCACTGACCCACCAAGCTTTTCTTGTTGGTCTGTCAACGCGGAGGCATCGAATACGATTTTCTGTAACTTAAGACACTTCAGTTTAGATATTTTGGTTCTGTGATGAGGGCGTCCAGGCTGTTGAGGAAGTCTGTTTCCAGTAAATACGCTGTAATTTGATTGTGTTGATACGAATGCCATTGATTACTCACAGAGGCATTTCAGCACTAGGCATGACTGGTCACATGAAGTCGCTAAGCCAGAGCTTTGCAATTACTATCTTCGAAAAAGAATTTCCCTTGTGTTCTTCCTTGTTTGGTAACAATATTAGCATTTCGGAACCCTTTTTTGCATCTGTAAATTGACCAGTTTTCGCTTAAACACAGTGTTTTCGTTTTAAAATGGATATGTTTTGTTCTCAAGCAAATTAATTCCACGTCTTTTATTGGGATTGTGTGTTATATTTTAGAAATAACTTAGGGTTTTTGGGAGTTGTTATGATTTTACAATTTTAAAATCCATTTTGGCTTTAAGGTGACCTATCCTAAGTACAGATGTCCAGTTCCACCTTAACTGATACTAAATTCCTGCACCATACACTCCTCTCTAAGTTGTACGGTGTGTGTTTCTTATTTAGCCAGACCACACAGAGTGTTTTAATGCACTGCAGCCTGTGGCTGCCCTGTTTTATTCTGTTTGCTCCGTAAGGCCCGGCAGATCACATTACATGATCATGGTTTTTCTCGTCTTTCCAGAGCCACCATGTCATCACCTGCAACGGAGGTCTGTACAGCAGGCCGTTCGATGAGTCCTTCGAGGAGACACCCATGCTGGTGGCCGTCCTCACCTACATGGGCTACGGCATCCTTACCCTCTTCGGGTACCTGAGGGACTTTCTGAGGGAGTGGAAGATTGAGAAGTGCCACATCGCCCGAGAAAGGGAGGAGCAGAGGGTAGGGGCTGGACGGCGTTGTCCTGTGTCAGCTCGCTTTGTTTGACTTTGTCCTACACTCGGTCTTCAGTGGTGCGCATGTAGGGAGACGCAGCTCTTTCCGTCAGATGCGTCACGTAAGGAAACGTACAATGGAAGGAATGTTGACAGGCCGGTGACTTGGTTTATTGAGAGAGTGCAGTTGTTAATAACTGTGAACCCAGAGTTGTGGTACTGCCTGGGTGGCTGTAATGCACATAGTAACAGCTTTGAAGGGCTGGCACCGATCCAGCACCCAACCCATACGGCTTCAGGGGCGTGCCCAAGTTTATTCTTCCATTCTGCATCTTTCGCCTTGTTTGCTTGCAGTTGGCCCTCTCTTCTGTGTTGCTCCCACACCAGTTAAATAGGCTGCTTGTTGGATACATGCTGTTCGTAGTGTGGTTTCTCTGATATAACATAGAGGTCTGAATAGCTGAAGTTCTAGTGACAGATGTGTGTTTAATTATCCTCGCCATCTGTTTCTGCATTCCTCAAAAAGTTGATGAGGCATTCTCCGTCCTATCTCTCATTCCACTTTTCTTTTTGCTGACACTTAACTGTGAAGAAGCCATGACTTTTTTTTGTAGTGTTGAGACTTAAAATTGAAGCTATCTGGTGTTTTGCTGCACCCCAGAGATCAGTTCGAATGGGTCTGGCATATCTCACCTTAGAGTAATAATGTCCTCTTCTCCAGGATTTTGTCCCGCTCTATCAGGACTTTGAGAACTTCTACACCAGGAACCTGTACATGCGAATCAGGGACAGCTGGAACAGACCTATTTGCAGTGTTCCAGGGGCCAGGATGGACCTGGTAGAGCGGCTCTCTCATGACTACAACTGGACCTTTCAGTGAGTGTCTAGCTGTAAGCCAGCTGGTGGGGCTCCTCAGCAGTTACCAGTATTAATGGTAACAGATACTGTACCTCTTCGTGGTGTTGGGGATTTTTCTATATTTTTCAACAGTAAAAAAGTGAATTTAAGGCACTGTTACAGACATATTTTGGGTCTTTTTTCTGCTGCTAAAATTCTTCTTTCAGTCGGTCCTAATGAGCTGACTTTCTTTTCAATGGAGAATCATGGAGGGAAATTCAGACTGAGTTATGATACGGCTCATACATGTTAAAAACAGTAACCCAAAAGATTCCATGTCAGCTGGCCAGCTGACTAGTGGTGTCGGTTTTCAAAGCAGGCGTTCCCACACTATGCCAAGAATAATTTTATCCTAATTTAGGTGTAGTAATAATAATTATTTACCAGCGCTGCACCTTGAGAATGCCAGGAATGTGAGTTAGAAGCTATTTCAGCATGATTGATATTTCCCTTTTCCTGGTATCCAGGCACATGGGCAAAGTGATTAAAGACGTCATCAACATGGGCTCGTACAACTACCTGGGATTTGCTGAGAACTCGGGGGCGTGTCTCGAGGCCGCTGCCGAGGCCACTGCGGAATACGGTGTTGGCGTCAGCAGCACCCGGCAAGAGTTGGGTACGTCGATTAACGCCCCCATGTCGCTGGGCCTTTCACGAGGCGCTGGCCCGCGCTTTTGCCTAACTTTAGCCGTCGTCAAGGCGTGCCGGTTTTCTGTCCATTTATGAACAAGTGTTCGGGGACTGTTTTCAGAGCATTAGAGCAAATCTCAGGCCGATGGCTTTGCAGATGTGAGTGCGAAGAATTTCCCTGAGTGGAATGCGTGTTGTTTTTCAGAGCAATGCGGGCTGCATGTCGAGAACGGAATATGACAGGTTTTGCCGGTTTCTGAGTCCAGGCCCATCCTGAGTGCAAATCAGTGTGACAAAACATGCGAGCTGTGGTTTAGTGATTTCCATCTGCACCCCACGCATCAGACCAGGCTTCCCATATGTAGAGCAGCCCCAAAGCTCACACATGCATGGCAGAAGCAGATTGGAATTTTATTTGTATTGTTGTTGTTATTATTTGTTATTTATTAATCACAAAAATTGCAGAGTTGCTCCGGCTTTCCTTAAATGTGTGGGTTTCCTCAGGAAACTTGGACAAACACGAAGAGCTGGAGAAGCTGGTGGCCAGGTTCCTGGGAGTGGAGGCCACCATGGCCTTTGGAATGGGCTTTGCGACCAACTCCATGAACATTCCGGCTCTCGCCGGCAAGGTAGACACTCCTCTCTTGGCCTATCTCTGACTCTCATGTGCTCTGTCCCCTGTTATGTTTATTTAAGTCTGCCTGCTTTTCCTCCATACTTCCTTTGTACTTTCATCTCTCCTAGGAGTGCACCAGTACACAAAATTCATGGTTCGGTACAAACCTTGGCTTTGGGGTCACGGTTCAGTGCGATTTCGGTACAGCAGGAAGAGTAGAATCTGTTTCGAAATAAATTTTTAATAAGACTGCAAACAGGAACATGATTAGGAGCAATTTAAAAACAAAGGCAATGTGCCTGTTCATGTGGCCTTACATGGCTCAGGGAGACTGTTGTAGAGGCTGTTTCTGCCACGCATGGATGATGTCGTCTTCAATACGAGGTCATTATAACAGAAGTTACAGACAGTCTTGGTCTCCATCAACTGCTCTCTCTCCAGTGCTGCTGTAATTCACTGGGAAGCCAAAATGTTCCCAAACCACCGATTATAACTGAGACTAACCAGCATTAACCATGACCAACTCACAGCCACAATTATTATAATTTTTTCCATGTTTAACACCCACTTGTGAATTTTGGTTCTGTCCATGTCGGTAAATTTATTTATTTGGTTCGTTGTATGTGCTGAACCAAAAATGATATACTGAATGGTACCTGACCAATATGTTACAGCTCTAATTTCTTCTTAACTTTCCCTCCATTATTGCCTTTATTTGTCCTCCTCCAAAGTTTCAGCATGGCTGTTAATAGGTGCGTTAGACTTTGGGGTTTGACGTTAATCAGCTGTATCCTCACGGAAACCTCGGAGGTCTTTAAGCAGTTCCTCTTATGGCCCTCAGAGATCAGGCTGTTCCACAAGCTTCTGACTCGGCAGGTCACCTTGACTCATCTAGCCGACCTCGACCCTGTGGGGGCAGGTTGGGGGACGAAGGCCAAAATCTCAGCAGGAAACGTGTCATTGAGTCCCACGGTTTCACAACTTCAGCTTCCCGTTTCGGTGCTGAATTGACGGAAGGGAGGACTTTCCCGGGGATGGCTCCCAGTTCCTGTAAACATCATGTCAGATCGTGGTGACGGCTTCTGTGCAGCTTTCAGGATGTAGTGAGATTTCATGCGGTGGTGTTGGTCTAGGGGGGATGCTGTTTTGGGTGGTTCTCAGTGCTTGGTTAAAGGCAGGATTTTGGTTCTTTCGCTGGATGGTAACGTGACCTCTGTCTCCCCCCCCCC